ACACCCACACCCACACCCACACCCACCCCACACCCACACCCACACCCCACACCCACCCACACTCCACACCCAGACTCGCCCCACCCACACCCCCAACAGATATGATTAAAAATGTTTCATAGAGAGTATAGAAACTTTAGAACAGAAGACACTAGGAAATTATTCCTCAACTTTTTTGAAAGTTTCCTTACTCGAAAAAAATTGTTTGACCTTTTCCCTGAACATTATATAATAGTTTCGAGAATCCCATTTATGTAATTGTTTATTGACAAGAAAGATCTCATGTAAGATTAAAATTTTTTGGTCACTATGCGAGAGGATAAATAAAACTGTATAATATTAAACGATTAAATTTTTGGAATTTATGTTGGCCGTATCTAGAAGTAATAGTTTGTTTGCCTATCTCAAAGAAAACCTGTACTCAGTTTTGAAGAATATTGTGTGATAGAAGACTCACTAAACTTGGATTTTGGTGTGAAACATATCATATATAGTAACGTCTGTATTAAACGTAACATATTATTTCAGACTACGATAGAGTGTGAGTAATAATGAAGACATCAAATGGTTTGATTAAAGCTTTGATTTTGGTTATCAGGACAATTGGAAATACTTCTTCTTTTTTTTCTAAAAGGCTTCACTACTCACATCTTACAAAACTCGGATTAGAACAGTAGGAATAACATTCCTTATGTTAAATGAAACCTTCTTCCAGTTCAGAAAAGAAGCTGCGGAACTGTTACTTAGTGTCTTATGTTCTAAAGTCTCTATGATCTCTATCAAACACTTTTAATGATATTTGTTGCTATATTTCTTTACTAGACACGTTGCTCTCTCTAACAAAAAAAAATCAAATCGCTATGAGTTTCCATTAAAATTCTACGTAGAAAACAAAATTAATGAAAAACTTTTGTTCCACCCGTTATATAAAAGATAAGCTATGAGTTTCTATGTAGTAAAGTGATTCAAATTGAAGGTTTGTCGGAGATTAAGCAAATTTGTAACCAAACCGGAATATAAAAGTGATTTTGAATTTTCCGCTTGCAATCGAAATTGTTGTACTAATGTCATTACGCTCGGATCACTCACGGAGAGAGACATTGATGGTAAAAATACCACTATTATTCCTGTCATCGTATTTTGTTGTACACTGAAGGTACTATTATAATAAATTCGTGTTGGTGATATATTAAGAGCATAAGCTAAATCAGTAACTGTTGCTGTGGACAAATATCTATTATTAGTGTCATTGATCACATTGAATTGTCTATTAAGAACCAAATATATTGATTGTGATATGTCTCTACTGAGATTTGCTGGATGCATACAGCCAGAAGATAATTCATATGGTCCAAGATCAAGAAAAGAGTTTGTTGACAATGAAAATACAGTACCAAGAAATAAGTTGACGAGAATGTTGCCTGTACTGAAACCAAGCGAGATCTGAGTTTGACGAATACCATACATTGTATGATATCGACCGTAATGAGCCACACGACATGAATTCGATGGAAAAGAAAGATGAATAGGAGCAGGTTTTTGAGAATTCCAATCGAAATTCGATGTCGACAAAGCAGAAAATGGTGGATAATGCCACATACTATCAAATGTAACATAGCAATCAGTTCCTAATCCAATTGTGAAAATGCCAACGGCTAATTGAAGTTCTGGTCTAAAGGCAAGATCAACTGTAAGATTTGCTTGAAAATTTCCTTGCATTGGATGAATATTACGCGTCAAACTTTGTGTGTATTGTTTTGTTGTATTACCAGGAGTACTGACTAGTGTTAAATTTGTTTTCCATTGATAATCTACACCAGCAGATAGATTTCCTAATGCTCCTACCGTAATATTCCATGATATTGAAGGAGAAAAAAATAATCCCACTGCAAATGAGACTGAACCAATAACAATTCCAAGCGATGAACCAATGGGAATGGTTGGTAATGGCAATGAACTATGAAAACTATTTTGATAGTCAGCGGAAAGAATAAAATCAAGATTAACTAAAACACTTGAATTCATGCGTACTGCTATTTTATCTAATGAAACTGAATACTGTTTTCGAGTAATATCCATTTCAATAACAGTATAGTCATAAGTTGTCCAACAATTTGTACAATTAACTTGTATTTGCTTTGGACGTCCTTTATTGCAGATCTGGCAGATATAGGATAAACCTATGTTACTTGTTGGACATAAACTACTACAAAGAGTTAAATAGAGTGTTTTTGATTTTAATGCTTGACCTCGTTGTTCATCATAGTTCCATGAACCTAGAGAATGTGTTGGAATCGAAAAATAATTGGTTTTTACTGTACAATCTGTTGAATACCAATATTTGCACCAATTAACTTCAAAATAATAATCGGTAAACGTCGGTTTAACAGCTGGCAAGGTGTAAAAGCATGATCCGCTTGAACCTACTGTACATGTGAATGTGTCAATATCAGTGTCGGGTAGCAAAAAAGTATAATGACGAAGTTTGATTGTAAGTAGATCATTCGGACTTGCAAAGTTAGAACTATTCCATGTCAATCTTAACGACTGTAATGGCGAGAATGATTGATCAACTCCTGGAAATGTTGGAAATAAATATGGTCGAGTGATCACAAAAAAATTATTTGATTCCTTTTTACAATTCAATGAATACCATGATGTGCAATCTAAATATAATAAATAAAACAAAATTTGCAATGTAAAAATGACGATTAACTCACAGTTAAATTCAAAATAATAATATTTATCATTATCAGCTCGATCTAGCGAAGACGAAATACTATAATTATATGCATTGGCTGTAGCCAAAACTGTGAAAGTATCCAAAGTGGCATCAGGAATTATTGGGCGTGCTCGACGAAAACGTACTGTTATTTGTGATGTTGTTGGAAAATTTACACTTCGCCATGTTATCGGTACTATATCACCTGGATAAAATACATCGTTAGCATTGGGCAGTACTCCAGGAATGATAGATGGTAATGTTGGAATATAGAAGGTAGCACTTGTTCTTTGGCGAGGTAGTAATGAATACCAAAATTCATATTGAAAGTAATATCGATCATTTGATGATGTTTCCAAATTAGCAGGGATAACAAAAGATAATTGAAGAACATTAACTTTCGTAGTCATACTACTTATTTTATCATCTAATAGAAGCCGTTTCCGATAAAGTTCAATGACTAGATTAGTTGTTCCATCCATATTTGAATATGACCAACTTACATTGACTGTTTGTCCAGGATAAAAGATTTCACCTTCAAGAGGCTTTTTTGGATCAAAACTCCATGAACTAAAAATAGATTTTACCCCAGGTACTGTGACTTCTCTTTTTTGTTTCGATGATGATAACGATGGCGTTGTTGATTGTGTTCTTACACTACGTTGTTCCCATGTTAACTGCATGGAAATATCAGTAAAACATAAGAGTGGATGTATATCATTATTCTTGACAGTGAAAATAGAAATTTTTGTTTTTTCGAGCTTTAATTTTAATAGACGTTGAAAGATCACTAATGGCTCTCCTGTTGTTGCATTACGACATCCCCATTGTGTGCCACCATTAACATATTTTGTACCTGATGTAATCCATTTATTATAGATCAATTTAGCATTTACATCCGAATTAAATGTAAGTATAAGCATTTGTTGATTTTCCAACAGGCATTCAACAGACTCAAGAGATTCAATTGAATCAAGAACGATACATGCTTTTGAATGCAATTTAGCATTTGAGTTGAGTTTAATATGACGAGTATTAGTTGGTAAACTCTTTCCAACGAAAGCGTCGCTATCAGTTATATCTATGGATTGTTGAAAAAAATCTGAATATGCTGGAAGACCAGTATTTGAATCAATAGTTTTTATATTGTTTACAGTTGAATGAAACACTGACTTAAACTGAGGACGGGCAATAGCAGTATGTTGCTTGCTGATAATCAATAGAAAAATAATAGATCTAAGCATGTTATATACTGATAATTGAGACATGTTTTTTTCGTTCCAAATTGACAATCAATAATTGATAAATAATGTAGTTTCGTTTTATTGATCAGAATAAAAGTGAGATCTAAGTGATTAGATATCTTATTGTATATTCTTTTATTTTTGACGAACTACACTAGTATTTAATAGATGAAATTATCTATCTACAAGGAAAGAAGACAAATAACTTAATGTTAAAAGTCAAAGAGTATTCCCTATTTTGTACAGTACACCTGTAAAAGAGGTAAGAGAGAGTCTTCTTACAAGTGTTAATTGAGAAATCAACATAATCAGAAGTGAATCATTTTATTAATGTTCTTTGTAATGTTTTCATAAAGATGTTCGAGCGATTTCTATAGTTCACATAAAGGTGAATGATTAAATGGGAACAGAATATGCATTTGTTTGAAAGAATAGTTTTTGTAATGATTGAAATGTAAAAGTTATTCTCGAAATAACATATTAGAATTCAATGCAATTTTGTGGGATAGATTTTAGGTGTAAACATTGTTTTCCGTTAAGATAAAGAAATAATGAATTGTGCTTATTAGGGTTAGAGTAGAAACAGACTCTTGCATATGCTGTAAACCTAATACATTAGGATATTCTGTTTTACAATACAACTCATCAAACTCGATGAGTGGATTGAATCATTAATATTTAATTTAACTAGGAGAACATTCAAAAGTGAATCGAAGAATTTTCAGAAACAACGATGCAATAAAATTTATCGATTCTAGAACAATGTAATGGATATGAAAATTGAAATATCGATTTATCGATATATTACTGTCTGTTTTCTTAGGGAAGAAAATGGGATTTGTTTTTAAATATCTGAGACGATGTTGGTACACTGAAAGACTCCATGAAAACTAACGAGGGAAGGTCTCCAAGTGTTACCCGGGGATTTTGATGAAACCTATATGAACTTTTCAAGTCTAGTACACATATCTCAAATATGGAAAAATTAGCTGCTGAGACTGAACGGATCACAAAATTTTGGTAAAAATATTTTTGCATTAAAACTCTGAGGGGGACCACAGGTAAATTTTAAAAAAGTCATAAAATTTAAAATATTTAAAAATTCATTATGTTTATCTCTTATATCCTAAATATACTGATAGCTTTCTTGCATTATGTGTTTTTCTGATAAAAATTGGTCACAGTATAATGTAATGTCTTGGAAATAGTCATTGAGAAAGTTTGTAAGTAACTGATTTTGTTAGATCTTGAAAAATATGAGGCTTTATAGTATTTGAAAACGCCGACGATATTGATTTCTACTAAAGTGATGTTTTTTTCGGCTCGAGGAATAGTGTTTATTGATAAACATATGACTGATATGCGCATGAATACCGCCGAAAACAACTGGTGATATTCAACCATTGGACCGTTATTTTTTTCGACAATGGAAATATTTCAAACAAAAAATATGCGATCGTGTAGCAATTGATCAAATAGATATTGATATTTGTTTAAGAAATAATATCTTAAAAATGCATTCCTTGATTCACAATCAGCTTACAACTTCAATATTTTCAACTATGATCAAATACAGTTGGTATTCCAGTGGTTACTTACTTAAAGATTCTGGACAGTTCGAAAATGTTCAGAACGTGTGCTTTTCCTTTCATGATGATTTTTGTTCTGTATCAACATGCGATGATTTTTGTTTTATTTGTTGCAGTCACTGTCATTGTGTACTTTGCTTCAATCACTTTTTTGTTCTTGATCACAAACATTAATACTATGTTCTGGTGATCATTGATATTCGTTAAAAAGAAAAATCATAGTTTCTAACCTATTTAAAAAAATTAGGTAAACACTATTGAATTAGTCTTTCATGCGCATATCAGTCATATGTTTATCAGTAAACACTATTCCTCAAGCCGAAAAAAACATCACTTTAGTAGAAATCAATATCGTCGGCGTTTTCAAATACTATAAAGCCTCATATTTTTCAAGATCTAACAAAATCAGTTACTTACAAACTTTCTCAGTGACTATTTCCAAGACATTACATTATACTGTGACCAATTTTTATCAGAAAAACGCATTATGCAAGAAAGCTATCAGTATATTTAGGATATAAGAGATAAACATAATGAATTTTTAAATATTTTAAATTTTATGACTTTTTTAAAATTTACCTGTGGTCCCCCTCAAAGTTTTAATGCAAAAATATTTTTACCAAAATTTTGTGATCCGTTCAGTCTCAGCAGCTAATTTTTCCATATTTGAGATATGTGTACTAGACTTGAAAAGTTCATATAAGTTTCATCGAAATCCCCGGGTAACAGTGGGGGATCTTCCCTCGTCAGTAACAAATGCACATGCGAAGGAAAACATGCAAAGCTTGGCATTCAGGAGTCATTTGTATGTACTATATTATCATTTTCTGTTTCCTTGCAAACTGATGATTAAAATTCAAATGGAACCGATCTCCTCACAAACTATTATCTGTTCTTTGAAAATAGAATGCTAAATTTTTCCTTCGTTTTCTACGTGGCCAATGACGAGTAGCTTACAGTTTCTACAGTTATGAATTCAACTTCTCCGTCAGTACAGTATGACCAGTGGAGCTTTTGTCGAAATCCAGCTGGAGCATATTTGGCCTGTAGTAGGGGGTATCAGTTTTGGGTTCCATTTCTAGGAACTCAGGAACCCAGATCCGTCTGCGAATTGCCGTTCCTAGGAGCCCAAAAATCGACAATGAGTTGTCACAAAATAGAAGAAAAGACATTTAAACACTCGAGCATCTCCGGAAACACACGAAAAACTATTTGTCAAATGTATACATGGCTCTTAGGAAGAAAACCCTGCAGGTTGCCAGCTCTGGTGTACAACTCATCGGGGGTAGCGCCACTTGCAACCAGTTGCACCCCAGAGTTGGTAATCCTGAAACCCTGACACCTATAGACTACACTGATGCATGCTTACTCGTCGAGATACTACTTTCGGTTTCAAAAACAAAAACTTGTGCTTCAGTTCTTACTAGTTTTTGCGGTAGTTTTTATTGTTGCCGTTGACATTTTAGTAGAACTCCCTGTAACGAAAGTAACGAAAATATTCAAACTAGTTCAAGACAAAATCCACGTTTCTTGCCTGTCGAAATTTTTGTTGTTTCGGTTCGTTGGGCTAAAAAAGAAGAACAAAGATGAAAATCTAGATTCATGCGAAGTGAAAAAACACATTTACTTGTCTTTACTGTCACATGTGAAGCCAAACCTAAACACAAATACAAACACATCAAGCAAGAAAAAAGCAGCGAATTTCAGGACTCCAAGACGAAAAACTCTAAAATTTCACGAGACTTCCGCAGACTTCATAAGACATGCAAAATCGTCAAAATATTGCAAAGGATTTCGCAGAAAGTCGTAGGACTTCAAAAATTTCAAGAGATTACAGGAGGTTTCTAAATCTTTCGGAGACTTCAAAGGTTTTCTTCGAACGTCATGAGTCTTCACGAGACATCACAAAGTTTTACAAGGCTTCAACAGATTCCAAGATATCATGAGTGTTCAAGAAACCTAAGAAATCGCTTGAATAACAAATCTAAGGTCACACATAATTAAACGACTAGGTGGTTATTGACAGACAAACCTATCTCTTTATCGGCTGATAAGCTACCGCAGCAATTGCTTAAATTGAACGTAACTCTCGTCCACATGTCGAATCTCGTAGTATAACAACTACGTTAATTAGTGTAAGGTATGTAATCGACAGAAAAAATGTGTCCAAAACAAACTATCGCTGAGAGTAGGAATCACAAATAACTCTTTATCTAATTGTTTAACTTTGATTAAGGAGTAAATCCACGCGAAGCATATCATTTTCTGGAAATATAATGAATGCGAAAACCTCGGATTTATTTCCGAGAGTTATATGTACTTCAAAAAGTGAATTAGAGAGATGAGTCATCCTAGAATGTGTAGATATCAAAATTATCCTGGCAAGTCTTTTCTATAAACACTTGATTTCTATTGGTTACTGCTCAAACAATAGAATTTCGAGACAAGTGGAGCTCGTATTCGAGTTCTCTGTCCCAGAAAACCTTGCAGTATCATCTTTGTGATCGAAAGATAGAGCTCTAGTTGTGGATTAATTAGAGGGATTAATTAGAGCATGGGCAAAAACAGAACCAATTTCTGTTTAATTATCTTTGCAATAGGTGACTTAACCTTCGTGTTTGTTTATGTTTTATACACTATTTTGTAGCTCGTGAAATTCTCTATCGAATGGCATATAATAGTTGGGGTTTTATTTGACTATGATAGGAAAAGTTTTTTAGAAAAACGGGGACAGGTCGATGTTTGCATAGGAAAGCATAGAGAAAATGACTATTTTTGCAATAGCTCAGCAATGGCTCGGCGAATCATTCTCATCTTCGAACTCGATGAGATATTTGTTGAGATAAAAGTGTGTAGAAAATTTCATCGTGATCGGACCCTCCTTTCAAAAGTTATCGTGTAAACTGACAGCCGGCCGGACACACTGACCGATTCTAGAGTGTATTTACTTTGTGAGCACACAACAATTGTATGCGTTTTCTGCCATTTGCTTGAGGAAAAGCTTTTTCTCGATTTTATTAATCTGGCGAGATTGTACGTGATCAAAAATAGTCTGCTTGAGAAAAGAAAAAAAACTGACACCAAGAGTTTAGAATACTAGCAAGTTCGACTGTAGGTAAAAACGGAGTTGTTCCTAGCGAATGAGCTGAATCTCCAAACTTTAGGTATCCAAGTTTTCTATTTCCACACACAGGCTATTTTCTATTGCGTTGTGCCTAAGTGGATGACTAAAATCCAAAAAATTTTCATACTGAAATATGGTGCACTTCTTATGGGATTATCCTGATAAAAAGTTTTGTATTCAAGGACGTCGAATTATATATAATGAATATTATTGAGTTCAAATGCATTTCAACATGTTAGTTTTGTTCATTTGGCTCAGCAAAGAAATCAACCTCTTTTATATGAACT